AATGAGAGGGGTATCATTAGAATATTGCAAAAAATTTATAGATGGAAAAAATCTTGAAAATTTCAAAATTATGTTTATTTTTAGAATGATCTCAAGAATATAAATATAAGTTTTACTGTAGACATCAGTTGCAGGACACCCTATACATATATATATATATATTATGTATGTATGTATGTATGTATGTATATGCAGGATGTCCTGCAACTGATGTCCACAGTGAAACTTTGTATTCTTGATATCATTCTAAAAATAAAGATAATTTTTCAATATTTTCTCCATCTATAAATTTTTTGCGATATATATATATATATATATATATATATATATACAGGGTGCTCCAAAAAAATTGGAACACTGAACAATCTCGAAAAGTATACGTTTTACAGAAAAGTTTCAGACAAAAATTGTAGGGAAAAAAATCTATTTACTAATCTTATCAATTTGACCTTGGACGGCGTTACCAAGGTCAGAATAGGGTCACCTCAAATTTCTTAGATGGAATCCTATATTTTTGATTACATATTCTTGTAGCTTATCTCGAGAGCTTTCCAAAACACTATAATAAAATTATTTTTCATTAAGTGCTCTTTGAGTTATAAAGGTTAGAAGCTCACAATTTTTTGACATAAAATGTTAAATATCTTTGTAAAATATTCCATTTTCAGTAATCATACCTACTTTCTTGCACAGTATAATAAAATCAATAAAAAAAAAACAGATAATTGTTAAAAAAAATATGTAATATTCAATATGCAGCAAGCATACTTTTTTATAAGCAACTGTGTTTTTTTTACACCAATTCATTGGTCTCATTATTATGTGCAAAAAAAGATATGATTACCGGAAATGGAATATTTTACAAAGATATTTTACATTATATGTCAACAAATTGTTAGCCTTTGTAACTCAAAGAGTATTCCATGAAAAATAATTTTATTAGTGTTTTGAAAGCTCTCTAGATAAGCTACAAGATTATGTAATAAAAAATATAGGATTCCATCTAAAAAATTCAAGGTGACCTTATTCTGACCTTGGTAACGCAATCCAAGATCAAACTGATAAGGTCAATTAGATTTTTTACAACTTTTGTCTGAAATTTTTTTCTGTAAAACGTATACTTTTCGAGATTTTTCAGTGTTCCGATCTTTTTGGGACACCCTGTATATGTATATATATACATATATATCGATTTATTTAGCAATCTGTCTGTCTATCTATCGAACTATCTATCGATTTACCTATCTATCTATCTATCTATGTCTGTCTATATGTCTATGTATCTATTTATTTATCTATCGATCTATCTGTCTCTATCTCTCTGTCTATTTTCTCTCTTCTACATTGCATTCTTTCATACATGCACACGTATATAATAATTTTTTAAAAATAATCTACATTACCAAAATAAAAATAATATTTATAATCTAAAAATATATAAAAATCTTTTATGAATATAATTGATTATAAAGTTTTAGTGTTGTAAGAAATGATTATTTAAAACGAAATAAATTCAATTAAATAAATGTCTGAGGATGACCGTTATAAATTTAAATTGATCTTAGTGAAAGCGCGGCTGTGCGGTGGATCGGAGCAAGGATGTTTCAAAGTCACTATAGAAAAATACTGAGAATACTGTTAAAGACAAAGACCACTTTTATTTCTAAAGACTCCCGTATACAAAATTTTCGACTGCTTAGGTATACGTCTTGAAAGAGAGTGTCTGATCTCTCGGCTCGTTTGCCAGAGTACCCTTCAGATCTCTCTCGCGAGCGCGCGCCGCTTTAGTTTGCGCCCTTTTCGCACATCACCGAGGGCAGCAGTTACCGGTGACAGTTAGCTGTCGGATTGGCGCGTGCGCAATCAGCCTATCGGCTGATTCCTTTCAGCTCGGCCATTCTGCATTCAATTTCGTCTCGAAATTATAAATTTACTATTTTAATACCATGTTACAACGCATATCTCGGTTTTATTTTATACAGGTACGTATTCCATTATTACTCTACGCAGGTACGTATTACATTTATTCTCCGTTTTTCCCAATATAATTTTTTTTTTTTTTCTTATCCTAATTATACTTATTAACTATATGAACACGTATTTGAAACTCATTAATACTATGATATATAATATAGGTTACGAAACTTATTACTACTAGAGTATGCAATATAGGTTATTTACATGTTGACTATCTTTTTTTTTTTTTTTTTTTTTTTCGTTTAATTGTCGCGCTCTTTATTGAGGGCTCAAACACTCGGGCGAACCGCTCATCAAAGATATATCCGATACCTTTACCTAATGGACTTTGAGGCGGTTTGGACTTTAACGCGAAGTTTCTAATAAACTTTTTAAAACAACCCGCGATCGCTATGAAACGCTGCAACTTCAACCTGTCAGTCGGTGCCTTGCGATAGCCGAAAGACAATCGGGCAAATTTAAATTGACCATCCGGGGCCACCAACGGGAAATACCTTGCAGAGTGCTCGTGCACTTGTACCGCCAAGTCGTCCCTTACAGGTGACGCTTCCCGCTCTTGACTCTTCAAAGCGCGTTTTTCCGAACGTATTTTTGTTTCGCGTTCGAAGTCTGTTTTGCAATTTTTCATTATTTGTTTAGGATTCGAGTTCCCAACTATACCAAGAGGTGACTGTGAAAACATATTTATTCGTTCGTGTTCGCCTTGTGCCGTTAAATTGTACACGAAGGTGATATTATTGTTTGCAAAGAATTCTCTACCGAGGATAATATCGCCCTTAAACGCGTCGGAGTGTAAAACATACAGGTTGACCGAAAACGCTTTGTCCTCCGTTTTTTGTAATTCTATTTGTATTTCTATCGACCTGAGTTGAAATGAAGAATCTTCGATTTTGCTGCGCGATTTCCCTTCCAAAAACAAGAATCGAATCACCGACCGATATTGCTCTTTTTCCATTTTTCTAAAATCCGCGGACACGCCCGCTTCCACACGGTCAAAACAAAACTACGAGTCCGATTCGGCTGAAATTTTGACAGTAGCCGTCTACGAGAATGTACTACACGATAGTAAAACTCTCTTGCGATACTGGCACCAATCGGGCGATGAGGTTAAGTACTTATCGGACTGCCCTCGTATATATACACATGTGAGTGTGACAAAAATTTTTTTTGTTCACATTCTAGCTAACAAGTTATATGCGACGTGTGTGTGTATGTGTATAACAGGCCTATCTATAATAATTATAATTAATTATAAAGTAAATAATCCTTTGTAATAAATAAATGATTTATATAAAAGTATTTTAGAGATTGAATATAATAATACTATTATTATCAAAACTGAGCAGTAGTTAGATAAGAATAAATCATATAAATCATTTATTTATTACAAAAAATTATACACTAAAACTTTATAATCAATTATATTCATAAAAGATTTTTATATATTTTTAGATTATAAATTTAATTATTTTTATTTATGTAATGCAGATTATTTAAAAAAAATTACATATACGTGTGCATGTATGAAAGAATACAATGTAGAAAAGAGAGAAGAGACAGAGAGACAGAAACAGGAACACAGAGAGACAGATAGATAGATAGATAGATAGATAGATAGGTTGATCGATAGATAGATCGATAGATAGTTCAATAGATAGACAGGCAGATAGCTAAATATATCGATAGGTATATATGTATATATATATATATATATATATATATATATATATATATATATATATATATATACTAACATGCATGCATATAAAGAAATATACTAACTTTTTCATCCAGCCTTTCTTGAAAGAAACTCTATGTTGACAAAGAGGCAGACGTTTTGCGTTATATTATTCTATGTATGAGAGAGACGAAGATATGACTGTCTGTCCTTGTCTAACTGCACGATTGCAGTTTCCTCTATCGCTACATGGCGCAACTAATTTTCTGCTCTGTTTTATTCCTAAATGTCATTTCGCACATACACATTTGAATGAAATATTCCACAATCGAGATCTTTTTTATTAGACTTCTAAACCTATTTCTGCAAGTTCACTAATATTCCTTTATGCAATCTTTTGAAGAAAGCGGTCTTATTTTGTACGTATAAATTGTGAAACTTTTATACAAGCAAATATTGTTATGACGTGACGCGAAAAGCCAAAAAAAACTCGTATTTAAAAATTTTTTGTCTTTTTATCACAAATTCAGACCGCTCCCTCCTTTATTATTGTATTAACTTTAATCGTGGAAAAGCATTTGTTATTTTATTAACGCAATAAAAACTTCTTGATTGTGGAAAAATATAATTGGTTAGGTCGGTAAAAGTATACCTCCGGCATCCTCTTAAGGGGATCCCTCACGATTTCTGTTTTATCGACACAATCATATATTTTCGTACTTCTAGTATCTTTTTTTAATTTTATATAATTAAAAATGCTTCTCTACGATTGCAATACTTGCATCAATAATCCCAGGGAAATTCGATTTGATATAAAAAATGAGAAATAACAATTTTTTTTATTTATTTTTATCTCGATTTGACATCTTGTATTGCAGACAAACTGTCAACCTCATCATAATATGTGTTTTATATTATATAAAACATATGTACTTTGTAATATTGAATAAAAATGCACATTCCTTGGGATTAGAGGATACGAAAGAAAGCACTGTTATCCTCTAAACTTAGATTAGAAGTCTAATAAAAATTTGTAATTAGAAATACGATTTATACGTATATGTGCGTGTATTGTGTATACATGCATATGTTTTAGATATGTGTGCTGCTATTTTGTCGGTGTTCGTCATTTGCTGAGGGATCCCCTCAACAACTATAATATACTAAAATATTTTAATTTTGTTTATAGAAGTACGATTTAACGAATGGTACAATTTAGCATATTTTCCTCTTACTATTACTTAAATTTGTCATATACAGCTGTGATTACGAATTATACATTGTATATTATAATAAAAATAGATATGTAAATATTATATATTTTTAAAAATAAAGTTATACTTACAGTACACTATCATTGATGCATTTGCCGTTCGTTCATCTTCGAATGTAGATATAACACATGTGTACTCGCCAGTAAGATCGATGCCTGGTTTATTCAATTTCATAGCTCGGTACTCAGTATATGGGTCATCGCTGGCTTTGTATGTCAAATCGACATATTTCGCAGCCGGTTCAACTGCTAATGGGTGTCTACCATAGATCCACTGGTAAACTACTCGGTTGGTATTGAAGAACCATTTGATGACGAGGCCCTTGCTCGATGTATTCTCGAGATCGTAATCGCAGTCGAGAATAATGTAATCATTACTGACTTTTATAATGTCTGGTACGTTGATGCTCTTAATAATCAGTTGCCAAGATTCTGTAAATATATAAAAACGTGATAAATTTTAAACTTTATTTATCATAAACCATATCAAAAAAATAAAAGTCTTAACGTATTTTCAAAAATATTGAAACATTATTTTAAATTAATCGCAAAATTGATGAAATTTATATATATATATATATATATGTAATCTGGCGAAAAATAATCGATAGAACGATATTTCTTCAAGAATGTTAAAACTTGATGTTTCAACTTTTAAATTTTAAGTAGCTCAGTCAATAAAGGAAAAATAATAAAAATAATTTCAAAAGTTTTGAAAATAGAGATATTTGTTTAGGCTTAATAATGAATGTCCAAAAAGTTCTGAAAAATTGAAGGTAAGCTATCGTCATCTTAAAAATACATTTTTTTGCATACAATTTTTTGCACATATCTCGTAAAATATTAATTTTATTGAAAAAATAGTTATTATCGAAATGATAGAGCATTAAATTATCTACAAAAAAGATATTCATTCTTTTTGAAACTTTAATAGTTTTCGAGAAAATGGGCCGCGAATGTTATGTAAGTTGTTCCAAACACTTTCTATATTATAGGCAGCCAATGTAAATAGTGCCAAGTAAAGTGTATTGTTTTAAATGTATACTTTTTTCATTTGCACAACAGTTTACAATAACTGTCATGGAAATTTTTTAAATAGTAGCATAGTTATCGATTAAGTAAAGTAGAGGATGAAATAGAAGATGTAGATGAAGAATCGGAGACAAACTCAAGAGCATCATCCTGTACAAAGGAATTCGAAATTGTTTCCAATTGAAGCATTTTCCAATTGCAAATAAGGACATTCCTTGTATGTGCTAACAAAAAACTACGTCTATAATAAAAAGTGAGTCTCAAAAAATGTATTAAAATTAAATTCTTTTTTTAGTTAATGTATTTACAATAAACATTTTTATTTTGTACAGATAATATAAACAATAAGAACAAACATTCCCAAGAATCGATTCACGCAACATTCGCGCCCCATTTTCTCGAAAATTATTAAAGTTTAAAAAAATAAATATCTTATTTATAGAAAATTTAATGCTCTATCATTTCGATAATAACTATTTTTTCAATAAAGTTAATATTTTACGAGTATGTGCAAAAAACTGAAAAAATGTCATTAATTTTTAAGATGACAACAGCTTATCTTCCATTTTCAGGACTTTTTGGACGTTCATTAATAAGCATAAACAAACATCTCTACCATTTTTCAAAACTTTTGGAATTATTTTTGTTATTTACTTAAAATGGGTCATTGACTGGACTAAAGCCTTTTCTTCGATAATGATTCTTATGTAAATGACACTATTTCTAACTCAATCGTGAAAAATTGATGGAAACTTTAACTTTAAAATTATGTATATTGAAGAAAAAAATGTTATTATAACTTTGATTTAAATGATTTGAAAGTATGAAGTTTCTTCTTTTTATAATTAAGTTATGTCTTTTTAGAAATTAAGTTGTGTTTTTTGTCGCTAATTGTATAATTTGTTATCGTAAATTGAATTAATTAATGCATTGTGGAAGTTTTCGATTTTTCACGATTGACTTGGAAATAGAGCATCTGCATAAGAATTGTCGTTGAACTTAAAATAATATTTAAAAGTTGAGACATCATGCTTCTAAAGTGTTTCGAGGAACAACGTTATATAATTATTTTTTCGCAACTTTACACATATTTATATTGCATTGATTTTTCAATGATTCGAATAAATAATGCTTTAATTTTTAGACGAATGTATATATTTCCTAAAATTAATAATTTCTGAAATATTTAGCCTTTTTTATTCTATTTTTTACATTATAAATCTTATTCAAAGTTCGATAGGGATAATGTTATTTTAGGAATTTCTCAATTAAATAAATCTGTTAGATATATTTTTTATTAATAATAAGAAAAAGAATGTCGCAAAATACAATACACTACGATCAATAATTTTCCAGATGTCTCAAAATTTTAATGTTTTTTTTTTGAAAAAATATATTAAGGTTTTAAAATTTTTGACAAGAGATTATTTTTACAGAAATTTTTTATTAAAATTTCTAATATAATAAATCTAATTTGTATTTAGTCAGAAATGGATTTGAGTTAGATCTGACTGGTTTCTAATGTTTAATTTTTTGTAAGTGTGAATTTTTTTAACTGCATATCGATGATCAATAGTGCATATTATGCAAATAAACATTTTTAAAATAGCAAAAATAGCTTGATTAATAAATAATATTAATGTAAAGAAGTTTATATTATATAGATTGTCTGCCCGGATAATTTTTTTTTTAAATTATTTTTTATTAATTATTGCGAAGATTACAAAATAATACTAGAATCTTTTTACTTGTTTTAACTCGCTCTATCGATACATAAGGTGGCATGATTATTATAGGACTCTGTATATTTTGTAATTTGCATTCTTAAACTCATTCACAAAACCCTTGTGATATCTTACGATTAGTGAGACTGATGTGATATTAATGTTTGCGATGACTTAATGAGAATGTGTGATACACTGTTCTAGTGATCCTAAATTGACGTCCTAACAATATGTCGTATACTAAATGTAATAATTTATCATTGCAAAATTATTTATTTTATTGTTCCTAGTATAAAGATAATGCTTATTTTATGAACAGGAAAATTTCTCTCAATTTTTGATAAAATCTTTAACACATTTGATATAAAGGATACTTTTGTGATTTGAATAGTACCAGCATACAAAGTTTATATCATAATTGAATTTCATTGAGTAATATAAATAAGAGGAATCGAGTTGTGTTCTTCGAAAATTTTACATCTTTTTATCATTGAATAAGAGACATCAATATTAGAAAATATGATAATTAAACAGTTTTTTATTTTATAGAATTTATTACCTATTATTTGTTTATATTTGAAATAATAAGCAAATAATAAAGTTAAATTAAAATATTTTTATTTGTGCGTCGACAATGTATTTTTGATGATATATATATATATATATATATATATATATATATATATACCGGGTGTCCGGTGACTCGCGTTTTACACGTTAATGGGAGATTCCTGATGCGATTTGGAGATAATTTTTCCTTAGCGAAAATGATGAAAAAAGTCATCATTTTTTTAATGTTTCTAATTTTTGAATCATGTATCTATGTAATTAAGCCTTAAATTAAAATTCTATTAGAGTAAACTTTACCTGAAATTAATTAAAAAATGTAGTTTTGTTAATAATTTATTTTTACAAGGCTTAGTTTACAAAAAAGCTCTTATTTTCAATCATTTATAACTCAAAAATTATTGGTGCTTGGACATTTTCGCTGAGGAAAAATCATCTTCAAATTACCTTAGAAATTTCTCATTAACGTGTTAAACGCGAGTTACCGGACACTTTGTATATATGTATATTTACATTTCTATTGAGCTAAGTATTTTCTCATGTCCTAGCAAACAATTCTGTGGTCTAAATTTTGCTTGAGCTATGTATGCATGTAGTTTATATATTCATGTCATGAAGTTTATATATTAATTGTTCGAGGCACGACTTGTATGTGGCACTGTCCACTGAAGCATATACTCTTACTCCTGTGATGAGATGCTGAAAGTTAAGTCGCATAACACTAAAATGTTTGTGACGATATTCATAACTCGAGATAGTGTATTCGCTACGTTCATGCTCATGATAAGATTTACCTTGTAATTTGAAACAATGCTTTAAGTTTTAGACGATTTATAATTTATAGAATTGTGAACAAAATATGTAATACGCACACACAATATATATTATGTGTTGTACATCACAAACATCTCAAAAATAAGACATTATAGAAAAAAATGTGTCAAACAAAATTTATATGGTTTGAGAGGAAAAAAGTTGATTAGTTTAAATTTTAATTAAAGTCACTTTTTAAGATTATTTGAAGATTACATTAGTTTTTTTAAATATAAATAAATCATTTATATATATTGTATTAATAAAATTAATAAATTTTATTAATAACTAAAATAAGATTAGAATTATATTAAATTATTTTTAAAATTATATTTAAGAATTATATTAATTATATTAATTTATTTATATTAATTAATTAATTAATTAATTAATTAAATTTTATAAATTTTATATTTTTATAATTATAATTCTATTCTAAAAATAAATTCAAAATTTATTTTTAGATTAGTTATACTTTTACTGATTATAAAATTACACTGCATATTTAACCTAATTCTTATACATATATAAATCAATTTTTTGCAAGATTCCTCGCATTAAAAAATTATAAAGATAGAATAGCTAAAAAATGAATAGCTATGAAATATTTTGTATTTTAATTTATAAATAAATTTACATAAACTGTGAAATATCGCGTACAATAACTTTTTTTCGATGATCTTATCTCAATACTTTTATGCGCAATATAATAAAAGAAATTAATTGGTAAAAAAAACACGTAATGGTTTTTAAAAGTATGTAATTTACAATTAGAAATTTTAAAGTGCTTTCTTGCAGTTTCAGTAATGTGTCATTTTGTACTGACAATGAGCAAAATGACTTTTTTAAATAAAACAGTAATAATAAGTAATAAAATATTAAATAGTAAATACATTTGTAATTTTAATTAATAAACGCAATTCTCATATTCAAGCTGTGGTAAATCTTTATTGCATCGTTTACCAATGACACATATTGTCAAAGTTCTGACTCCGAGTAATTTTTAAAAAGTACATTTAGTTGCTCATTAAAAAGTTATCAACAGATTCATTCAAATCAAAGTTCGAATGTAGACTGACGATGAAAAATTCAATATTGGAATTTATATGC